CCAGAGAGTCCCGCCCATTAACACCAATTCCCCGAAACTCCCAACTAGAGGTAAAGTAAACAGGGATTGCATCGGTTTTGCTTTCCTACGCTTTCTTACGCTCTGCTCTTCAATCTGATTGGTTAGTGTGGTAACTTTTTCTTTATAACACCCGATTGGAACGCATTACACTAGTGCAAATCTTCGCATTACTTCCAGAGTAAAAATATATTTTTTTTACCAACCGTAGGAAATTCTAAAACTTTTCGTTCACTTGGGTCTATCATGTCCGATAGGGCGCTCGTGCTGCTCTGTGGAACAAAACAAAAAGAAACGATTCAAGCCTACAATAGTTCTTAAACAACATAACCCAATTGCTAGATGATTTGAAAAAGAAAAGCATTATTTTACCTCCAGGTCTCTGGTATTCATGTTCGCTAAAGCTAACTCCTCCACACCAAACACATTCAATTCGGAAGACCTGTCGATTCACGTGTTAAAAAAGGTTTCAATGGGCTTTGTTAAGTATTCTTCTGAACAGTTGAATGATGGACGAGAAATGAAAGATGTCTAAATTTAAACGATTTAGGAATTTTCAATCTTTCTTAAAGCGCTTTTCGATTGAGTGTCGTCGGACCAAAACTAAAGTAAAGTGTAATCATGATGCCCAACAAGAAGAGAGGAAAATATATCTTGTTGTCAGTAAGAAGTCAAACTAGAAACAAGCAAAATTACTGAAAGCGCGGGAAAACGCGAGTGACCAAGTTGCCATTGGCGCTTCAGTTTTGCATCTGATTGGTTCAGAGAGTGGCGTGAGGATTCTGGACCAATCACAGAGCGAAGCAAAGGGATAACTTTCGACTCCCATTTGAAAATTTCTCTATTTGGTAAATTATCAGGAAGCCTTTATGTAATAAATTGTTGAGGTATACAAACACCAAGAGGCAACAAGGATGATTAAGGACTGTAGCATGAGGACGATCAACAAGAATTCCAAGAATCCTGGCCAAGTTATTTTACTGTGCAAGAAACACCTTGAATTAATTCCAATGATTTACCTAACGCCTATAAATCTAACATAGCGCGGACGATGCCTGTAATCACCTCGCACTTGATAATCTGCGGAATGGTATACAGATAGCGTTCCTATGTGCAAACATATCTTCTACAACAGTTGGATTGTTGGTGATTGCTGGCTCCTCGTTAGAAGCTGAATTTTTATCGGAAGGTAACTTTTCAGAGGCCTCAGCATCGGGTTCTTGCTCAGTGTTCTGTTCCTCTTCTGTTGACTTTCCTTTCTCCGGTTGGGATGATTTTCCTACAGAAAATAAGGAAGATATATGCGTACAAAAGCGAAGATAATAAATTTTAGAATTACTTGTTGAAAACAAAAAGATACACGGGCGCGAGACGAAGAAAAACTTCCGAGAACTCCACTAGGAACCGAACCTCAGGTCTTCAGTCGTAAATTAATCGATCAGTCTATCAAATAATTCAACAATCGGTTAAATATTCATTGGCCACTTAGTAGAGAAAGCCTAAAGAAAACCTAAATTACTTTGGAAGACAAATTGAAAACTAATGAAATCTGAGAAGCTCAGTGTACCTTCAGTAAAACCCTTCAATTAATCTTGATTATGTAAATACCTTCGTCGTTATCGTTCTTTGCATTTCCTTCGCTGTTTTCTGCTTTTAAGTTGTCATCTTTCTTGTTATCGCTCGATTCAGCTGAGTTCTCCATGTTCTCCGCTGTGTTCGAAACTGGTTTATTTAACGTTGGTTTGTGATCACGCACACAGCAGCCCTGTTAAGTTAAAAATAACAGATGCATCGCAAACAGAGTCTACAAAGGGTACTGTTAGGCTGTGAGCGCTAAAATACTTCTTACTAACCGAGTTCTATAAGTTACGGATTATAAATCCGAGCGGAAAAACGAGAATCCATAGCTTACAGCTAGGAACTAGAAAACAAGGTTAGTAACATATCTATTCCATCTCTGGGTTCAAATGGAGGGGGAGATTCCAATTCAAAGGAAACTTCGAATTCAGACGGCTGCACAGTAAAATACGGCCTGCTAAATTGACCAATCCTAGCCCACTTACTAACTGAGAGATATATCAAAGGCTCATAAGTAAACTGAGAAAATACATGGGTCTCGTGGATCATTAATTTCATACCCAGATCCCTCTCGCAAGCTCACTTTCGGTTTCGCACACAAGAGAGATCTGGGTAAGAAACTAGTGCAGATACCACTCGAAAGTAATGCACAACTTAGATGCAATTCACTTACAGTGCCTTCAAGGGATGGATCAAAATGCAATACTCGTTGCTGACAGCAGGGATATATTCCAACTATCTTGGTCGCTGCGCACTCCAAGTTTCCAAAATCTACAGTCATCGGGTGATAGCTGCAGTGACCCAGCTCTGAGCACTGGAAATAATTCCCGCAGCGGTGACAATAGAGGACATTCACTGCACCCCATAATCTGTGTAGAAAACAATACAAATATGTTAGCGTGTGATAAACTGATAACTAAGAAATATTTTGGTTAGCGCGCCGCACGAAAAGCAAGAATTGTTCCGCGGGGCGCGCTAATCACAATTTTTATTGTTCGTACTTATTTTTTCGGACACGTGCGACAGACTTCGCCGAAAAGGCGGGTCTGCTCGTAGTCTAAAATCAAAGGGAATCTTACCTCCAGTAAACTTCTTTCCAAGATTTAACTTCATCTCTTAATCCAAGAAGGTAGTCATTCACATCCCAGGTAAAGTCCCTGTAGGAGACGAAGACACATAGCTATGGTATGGCCTCAATAGTTATTCTATCTAGAAGAAATTTGGAGAACCCTCATATCCAACAAGCGCGAGTGAAAGAATTTTTTTCATTAAAAACGCTCTAGAGACTTGACAAAGCTCAGTAGAAACTTGGTTGAGACTTTCTGATGTATTGTGTCCTTATTGGACGTTTCTGGCTAGTACATACGTGATCAGGAACAGTATACACTGATCATTTGCCATTGATATCAATATTGAAGCCAATTTGGCCTTGCGAGCCTTGTTGGCTATATATCATTTCATGACCAACGCGCACTCGTGGAATAATTGTTTCATTTCAAATGCACAAAATGAGATAAATCTTCCCAAATTTACTTTGTAAGAACAACCGGTTTTAGTATGTCCAAAAGCACTTCCGGTTTAACTCGTATTCATGTGTGCGCACGGTATAATGGCTCATAACCCGTGATGACTGAGCCAATGAAAACTCTTGAATTTAACTTGTTAGTGGTGATGTCACCTATGTATCTGTCCTCCAATGGGTCATAACTAAGAACCGATAAAAACGCGCGCGTCATTCAGCTCATTATATAAATGCTGTTTTACCGTGAATGGACGTAAGACACTCTTCCTCGATGATTCACCATCATTCTGTTAGGAACACATCGTAGTTTGCCTTGAGATTCTGCTGTCAGAAGTCTTCCACAAGCGATGCATCTAAAGTATGTTCATTTGAAAAGATATTCAAAATACAAAATAGAAGTGTACTAGACAGGACAAACGCACGCAACATTTTAACGTAACATCTTGCAACAGTGTTGGATCGTGTTGTGAGATGCTGTGAAGGAGTTGGCCTAACGTGTGCAACATCTTACAATATCCAGAACTTGATCTAAAACCATCCAACATGTTGTAACATGTTGCTGTAGGGTGGCCAAACGTGTGCCAAACGTGGCCAAAAGTGTGCAACACGTTTGCGCGTAACAATGTTGAAAGATTTTGCATTGAAATGTTGCGTGCGTTTGGCCGGGCCTTTATTGCTAAGTGCGTGGCTTATGTCAAATCAAAAAAATTTAGAAATACTTGGAAGACTTCAATTGTTCATAAATAGTTTATGATGTTCATGAAAGGTGGGGTTTAATTGAGCTTTTTTTACAATCAGAAATCAGAAGTATGAAAAATGTGCCTTGTTTCCTCAAAAGTTTGTTATAGGGTCCCTGTAAAACCGCATGACTGGCTGCTTTGGTACACGTTGCAAAAAATGCCAAACATTTCCTGTCCCTTACCTGAAAAGAGTACTGGCATTTGCGGATGAACTTGATTGGAGCCTTGGATCAAACAGTTCTTCGATTTTCTTGCAAAACAGTTTGCTGCAGTCAAAACGATAACAACATTACCAAGCACAAACGTATTGCTACGACTTTCCTCGGTAGAAAAATAAAACAATAGGTTGAAGTCACAGAATGTACAAAATGCCACGGACACTACTTCTCTGAGTTGCCCTTTTACACATAATTCTCAAGTGTGAGATTGCTTTGAAGTTGACATTGAGGGTAGACTCTTTCGATCCTTCACTGTATGTTTCTATACACAGGTTATATTGTCTTGCACTGATAATAAATTTTTTCCTACTTTAAAAGTTTAAATTTACAGTTTTTTTTCTTTTCACAAACTTGTCTACACTGACAAACATGGCGTTATTTGGTTTTACATTACGACCCCGCTAACTCGAACCATTAACCCGAACCCCGGTTAACCCGAGCGCCCGCTAACTCGAACCATTTTCTGTTTCTCTTAGGAGTTCGAGTTTGTGGGGTTCTACTGTATAAACCAAATAACGCCATATCTGTCATATCTCTGTAAATACCCATATAAGGATCAAGTATATATGTGTCATTCGCCAGCCGTTTTTTTCCATGGACACTTTTCTGTCAACTCTCGTGATGTGCAGAAAATGACATCTCACCTTTTAAATTTGTCCTTTCGATCCTTGATTGCTTCTAACTCATTATGGTTAAACAGCTTTGCTATTCTGAGAAAATAATATTAGCTTATAATTATATTATTATTATTATAATAATATTATAATAATATTTTTAATATGAGAAAATAATCCACTTCAAAATACTCTATCAGTCTCTCAATAGATCTCTTGAAAGGTACGTAATAGAAAGAATAAAGAAAGATGTTGGTTTTTTTCTCACAAATTCGAGTCCCTTGCGAGACACAGAAGCTCAAACGTTTGGAATTTCACTCACTGAGGTACTGAGTACTTTTCTGGTCATCTACACCATTACTTGGTTTACATGAGACAAGCGTCCAGTAAACTGCTATGAGGAGCAATTTTTAAAGTGTTGTTTAGATAGATTGGATAAAAAGATGGAAAATTTTGAGCTCAGTCATAGAATAACCAAGCAGTTTTTGTATTTCACTGTTACTACAAAAAAAACAGAGCTTTTATGTATCACTAAAACACTACTTGTAGATCTGTAAGCCTTTTCAAATATTACAGAAGAACAGGATCATAGTATTGCCCACAAACTACACACACACACACAAACCATTGGTTCAGTTCTTTGTTTTCATCACATACCTAGTGACCAACTTGTCATTAATACAGTTCATATTACAGGGTGTGGCTACAATGGCTGACATATTCTGATGACAGTAGCGGATGCACTCGGTTACCTATCATGATTGAAGACACACAAAATGAGAATATTGATTTTTTCAGCTAACAGATAGCATCCGAGGCCTTAAGGGCTGTTGTATACCATAATTAAAATACTCCATGCAATTAAAACACTTTGTGCAAAGAACTCTCTTAGTGGCATGCCTCAAACTTGGAATCTGCATAAATTTAGTTATAGTAGTTTCATGTACAACTTTTGTGGTTATTCATTTATACAGTCAATATTTACCAGCGCATCCATCTTTAAGAAGTCTGAAGATATCAAGATGGATATGACATTGTTTGGTTCTGTGGGTAAAAAAAAAAAAGAAACAAAACATTTTCAGGTAAGACTTGTCAAACTATTCTAAAACTTCCTCAACTAATTAATGAGTAAGGGGAAGAAAAAAAATGGAAGAAGAGTAAACATCAATACACAATGGAATTTACACTTTCAATACTTACATATATCAGATACTGGTACATATACCTTGAGTCAAATATTATGAAATAACAGTTAAGAATACCATTTGACATTTGTCATAAAATATGTTAGATAAAAAAACCTTTCTTTAATGATCACAGTTCACAGGTGACAATCACTTCAATCATATTTCACTCTAATTTATTAGCATTATTCAACCCTTTAACTCCCAAGATGTAATAATTCATTCTCCCCTCTGGCTGCTCCATACTTCCTTGTAAATTTGTGCAAGAATTTGGTGTTAGATCATGATAAAAACTTTTATCTGATAAGTTTGAGTACTCTCATTACCTGTTTACTAGATAATTTATGGGTATTATAGGGAGAAGTGACGTGTTAATCACTTCTGGGTTAATTTATAAAAAAAAAGTTTGGGGGCTCACCAAGTTTGGGTTTCTTTTCCTCAGTCCTGGATTTGCTCTTATCTGGAAGCCGTCTTTTAACATACTTCATCAGCCAATCAAAGATCTGCACATCACAATGAACAGAAATGTCAACCTCCTCCCATCGTTGGGCTTCCACTGACAAATACTCAGCGAAATATCTCATCTCACTTATCAGCAAGTCCCTTGGGCATGTGAAGTCTTGTTTTACTGAAAAATAAATGTTTAAAATTAGTGATATTCATTAATAGATTAATAAAATCAATTAACCAAGCAGTCAACTGTTAATCTGTAAAATACAAAGTGTAACTCATAAACCTCTGAGAGAGACTAACATCTAATTTCTCCTCACAGTATCACCAATAAATCAAACATTAAAGTAATGAGAAGAGGGTAATGATCACTAGCTTGAGAAGTTCTTGATCATTAAACATATTCTCCTTGTCATTATTAAAGGAAAAGTATTGACAGTAGTATGGAAAATAAGTGCAGAGATCAGGGTGTCAAGGGTTAAGATGCATGTGACTTTAGATTACACTAGTAGAGAAGACTTCTACTTACAGTTCTTGCTTTCATCACACACATGGATAACCATGTTAGGCCTATAAAAAGGTAATCGAGAGGAAAAAAATGCTTTATTTGCTGAATAGTGGCCTCAAAAATACATGAAACAAGGTGCTACATTTTATCCTAACTATTACAAGACACACCTTAATATTTGTCCCAAAATTCAGTTGCCAAAAGCATTTTCCTATTTGCCATGGCAACTTGAAGAGTCACAGCTTAGCGTTACCGATGTAAACTAAAAAAAAATCTCCTAAATATTAGTTAACCACAACAAGACATTCACCCTTGTAATGATTCCAGATTTGAAGCTTGTGACAAGGCCGATCTTGAAGGTTGTCTGAGAACTGATTTCTAAACAATAAACAATACAGTTATCAGAATCACATTTCATCATTAAAGTTTCTCAAAATGCAGTCTGTCCTAAGTTGATAAGTTGGTACCTGCTTTGACAATGATTCTTCACCACTTTCTACATAGGAAGTTGCCTCTGATGTCCTGAAAGTAAGTAATTTTATCTCAATATTCAAGGTAAAACTCAAAGTAATATTTAATGATCTATCCAACTCACTAGCGCTGGCCACTTTCTACAAAGGAAGTTACCTTTGATGTCCTAAAAGGAAGTGATTTTATCTCAATATTCAAGGTAAAAATCCAAAGTAATATTTCATGACCCATCCAATTTGCTAGTGCTGGTATATGATATATGTACATATCAGTTGTATTCAATTTGATTACCTTTTGTTAAGTCCTGAGTATTGTTCAAGTCACACAAATCATCACATGAAAAAAAAAAGAAGACAATGTAGATTAAGTCCACTCTTTTTCACCCTCTATGTTCATGATTAAATTTAAGAAAAATACACATCATGCAGTAAAATCCTGATTATTCTCCTCGATCATCTGGATTTTCAGTTATCCTGAATCACCCTCGATTATCCTGACTTGTTCTCTGTTTTCATGAATATTAATTAAAGACACATTTGAGATTTGTAAGGTAGATTCACCAAACAATTTTGATGCTATTACATTTAATGCAGCTTCAAAGAACGATGGAATTAGTGACCTACACACACTTTAGCAGCTTAATAAACAAACTGAGTAACATCAAAATTTTGGGTTGTAAAACATGGGTGTTGTTAAATGTTTTTGAAAATACTTTAACAAATTTTGGCAATGACACATGACAATTTGAAAATGTACTCTAACTTATTCTTGAGTAATAATGATCACTTTTATTTTGGCTCAATTTGATATTCATATTTTTTATTATCGAGACTCTCGCTTATCTGGTCTATTTGGCCCAGTTCTTATATAGGTATAGGTATATACACCCATGTACATTAAAACCTTTGAATAAATTGCCATGGATGGCACTGTTACATTTATAATTCTCCTGTTAAAGTGCACTTCATCTAAAAAA